TTGTTGTTTACTATGATAGAATAGAATTGTTGGTCTGAGTTCATGAGTTTTTCTGGTCCAACAAACCAAATACCAGTTTACATACAAAGTCTACTCAAGTAGGTGGAAAGTGGCTGAGAGCTGCAGAAACCCTCAAAGTGGAGTATCGGTTCACATTGGGATAAGTACTAAAACATCTCTTTCACATCACCGGGTATCATTGTCTGTAGCCTTTATTTAACCAGGTTAAAAAATCCCATTGAGATCAACGATCTCTTTTTCAAGGGAGACCTGCGGTAAATTAAATTGTATTGAGTGTAAATATGCAAATGTTGCTTACTCTGGCTCCACTTGTAAAAACCATCAAACGATTAAAGGTCCAAAAAGTTGTATGTCATTTGGATGGCTTCCAAATACCCAGAGTTGTCCCATTGTAAACCATTTGTAGTCTTCTATGAAGCAACATTGGCCAACATTAATTGGTTTCCACTTCCCAAATGTGAAAATGTACTTGTTGCTTTAAATTGATTAATACAATTTAGAAAGCTGTGTGAAATTGTATAAAAACAGTCATTCAAGCTATACTATGCAATCAGCAGCACACAGGAAGTACATCATGCTGTTGATAAAGCATATTTTATGACGTTATCAAGATAGACTTGTAGTTGTTTTCTCTGTGTGATGTCGGACATGATATGAATTGAGTCTGATGTAAAGCTTTGATGAAAACCTGACCTCTAAATGAACCATTATTATATAATAATATACGTATTATACAATACAGGCACATGCAGAGGATTAGGCATCGCTATAACAGCCCTTTTCGTGAGATGAATCATATTGTAAGCGTGTTTTCTCACATGATTCGTGAACAGAACGAAATAAAAACATTTATATAGCAACTAGGACGCAGGGCGAAATAAATGAAAACCGCCTGCCTTCCCCCAAGCTTTTATGATACCATTACAATGACATCCCTTTCTCTACTGTATCAACCACTTTTCTTTATGCTGACATGTGAGTTCAGCTGAAACATCCCCAGTTTATCTGAACAATGTGCTGTTTATTGGTCATTAGATGTAACCTTTGCCAACTCTGACTCATTCCTTATCGCCAAAAGTTACAATGCAAAACATAAGCCTGTCATGAGCGGTGAGAGATTTAGCTTCCAGAGAATAGATCTTATGTTAAGGCCCTCAATATGAAACATAGTCTAAACTATAAGCCTTTAATATATCCTGTGCGTGATGGATTTGTGCTCTTTGAATGGACATTACACTCCTGCTTCCTCTCTGCCCAACTTCCCTCTTTTCCTGTGCCTCTTTTCTTTCCACTCTGTCTATCAGGCTGTCTTTCTTAACAAATACTTCCCCTGATCTCTATTATTCTCCTACTGTACGTGTTTGTACAGTAACAAGCAAACATGTGAGGCTAGGGAGAACAAAGCCTCCTTACATCAAATAAGACCACGGCTGAGGTTTTCCAGGCCTTTGTGTCCTATTTTTCACAGGGTTTAGAGCTATTAGGTCAACGGATGAAACTAGATGGGAACCTGTCCAAAAGAGAGTCTGATACAAAAGAGTAACCTTTCTGTGATAAACTGACTAAATACTCATTGGAGGTGGTTGTGGCTAGAGATACCTCTGCTGTGTTAACTGCTTTGAGCACAGACAGGCACCATCATTTCTTTATATGGTGATGTTGAGGGCTGCAGATTAGTCTGCCATGCAAATAAAGTATTTGAATATCAACATAATGACTGGGCAGGTAACCACATAGACATTTGAGACATTATCTCTGCATTTGAACAGGACATGAGTAATGGGCAAAATGTCCCTACAGTCTCACAACAGCTAAAACAATATATTCCGAGCTTAAACTCACAACAAAATGAATTTTAATTAAGGTGCAATGGCGGTTTAAGAGTTAGAATGATAAAGTATTACTGAGTGAACAAAGGGCAATATGCCAAATGAAACAGGTACAGTAGCATTAACATGAAAACAAACAATAGTGTCTGAGAAGAAACGTGTATGTTGAACAGATGGTCGCAGATTGCAGCAGGTCATATACTGTGATTGAGAGTGACTCAAGCAGTGTTCTTGTAGATAAGCTGAAAGCAAACTTTTAACCTCAAAACACAGCTCACAAACTCCAGCACATTGGTTGTACAACGCCTGATCCAAAGGACACAAAGATTCTATAATACCACATGATTCAAAGCCTTGAAGGATTATTGAATGCGATATAAAGGTTTTAAGGAGAGGGATCATGCGACTATGTGTAATGCAAGCTCAAATTGGTCACATTACTAGAAGCTAATAAGATATGGAAAAACTGGATGAAGCACGCCAAACATACTTTGTCTATCTGTGAAATGAATTGATATGAGCAACAATAGCAGGCACGTGTTGAGGCACAAAACAAATATGCAATGATACTGTGCCTTATACAGCATTCAATTCATAATATGAAGTAATGCTAATACAATAATAATGACACTGAATTAACTTGCGAGTGCTAGTTTTAGCTGCTTAGTGTAACTACAATTTATCATTTTGCGTCATACATTTATACTAACAGTCAAAGTCCTGCACATCCACACAGGTGTTTTGACTAAAGGTTAATTAGGCCTCTCTTAATGCCGATATTGGACGGAGACATAATGCGCAATGGCAATCATGCACAGTGTGTACACGCCCCCACACAGCTGGGACATCGGTCTAATCAGGTAAAGTGAAAACACCTGTGTAAATGTACCATAGGTTTATAAGAGATTGAGATTATAGACATTCATTTTAATAAAAAGTATTGACTTTTAATGTTTTATGTAACACCTGTGCGACAAGTCATAATGTCTGCTGTTAGTTCGAGATTTCTGGTATTTCAGCAGCGGCTCATTGAGCCTAGACAACAAATGTCATCATCAAGCCAATAATAACACACATCTGCTGCTACCATTGTGTTCATAATGACACCTGTGTAAACACAGGAGCAAAAGAATAGAGGGATTATTTATACACAATGAAAAACAACCCATCCAATATAAGAGTGCTGCTTTCTGTACAGAAACCATTGTATACAACCTATAATTTGATATCATAGAACATTTGAATTGCGCAACTTTCACAGCGCAAATTGTTGTTGTACTTTAGGTCAGCGTTCTTAATGGCTATCTTTGAAAGTACTTCACTTAAGGGTGAATTAGGGCAGGGTTCCACAAACACATGGACATTGTAAAGTGAACTCTAAATACGGTGACATGCAAAGAGTACTACAAGGGTATTTCCTGATCTTTAAAGAGCATTTTGCTCAAAGCCCCTGTTCATTTTTGACATGGCAATGCATCTGACATACTGTTTCTATACTCTGCAACACACCGAGCTATTCGAAGCACTTAAACATCTGTGGTCGTACCGAGGTAACTGATAAGCGTGGCTAAGTATAGCTCTAATGATAGACCACATACAGAGAAAAGTCAAAGTCAAATCAAGTGGCTAGACTCTGAGTATAACAACACAACACAGACATGCAAACACAAACAACTATAAGCACAGTTCATTATTCTAAGTGACAAAATAATCCCTGGCCATCTTAAATTATTAGCTATTAGATTAGATTTTGAGCAATAGAAAATAGGGGAGAGCGTGTGCAAAGAGTCCGAAAAAATAGGAGCTAGGAGATGCCATGTCAGTTTTGTCAGAATAAATAAGATCAGAAAAATTAAATACAACAATTACAGTGGAAAGGGTGCATTATCTGATGCTTTCAAGGGCTGTTTAGCACTCACCAAGCTCTTAGCGGACTCTCTCAGGCTGTGTTTCCTGGCATAATGACTCAACACTTCTCCTTGCTGTCGCTTTTTCATCACGCAAGCACATTTTACCATCTTATCTATTGGCCTCAAGGTTGCCCTTAAGAGAGCTTTGGAATGACTGCTATGCTAAGGGTGATGTGTATAATGTGTATCTTCACGCATAGCTAGACGCTGATGGTAAGGGCACACATTAAGACAGGCAGACACAGTCTGGGAAAACCCTCACATATTGAACTGCAATATGGGGGGTCTTAAGGAGGCAGGGCACATGGTGGAGACATTCAGCTGTTGTTGGGGGGAATCAAGTTGTAAACACACCCTCAGCCAAGGTGGCGCTCCAGGACCTATGCCAACAGGTGCCTGAGGAACACACACATGGATTTGCGTGTGTGTGTGTGTAAATGTGACCACACCCAAACACTGGAGCACCAGAAGAGTGTCCATCTCACTTACACTAAGGGCAATAAGTCATGCCTTATCTTAATGTGTGCTGGCACATTGATGCCATGGCACTTTTCACTGTCTGGGCTGTTATAGACCACAGCCTTAAATGGTGCAAAAATAGTTATGAGACTTGACCGACAGCAACTTCAGTTCTGGTATACAAATATGAATAAGTGAGGCTGCACTGCATGGTATAGAAAACCCTGGTTAATTTTGAACTCATGTCTGAGGGGAGCATGAAGGCCCATGAGTCATCTTAAGTTACCCTTAAATGCATGAGGAATACACATTTCAGTGGTGTGTCTCAAACAAGATAGAGTTACACTTAACTACTGAGCCATATAGAGAGACTTGTCAAGAGGAAATACTACAATATGAAATCACTGTCTGAGTACAACTTCTGTTATCATTTGTTATATAATAGTTGCTTTTTATATGCTTATTACACAAATGGCCTGGTCATCCTCATTCATGGTACAGTAACTCTTTCAAGGGCATGATGTTGTGAGGTTAGAAACTTGGCATATTCTGCCTCGCTGGGCATCAACATGAGGAGTAATAACTACTGCATCAAAGCCTTTTTACATTCATGAGTTATTGTTAATTTAAATATGTATGGCAACTATGTATGCCCATAATCAAACAGAGAAATAAGATTTATGAATAGGTAGCAAATATTGCCAACACGGTTAGGTTAACTGTTTTCCCATCATTCATTTCACAATCATAACACCACTTATGTAACCGAAAAGCAACTTACCTTATGCTGTGAAACTCATGTTTACAACCTCAATTACGGGTCAGCAAACACTCCATCTTGTTCGTCTTAGCTTGTAAATAACATGTTGTAAAGTAAAGCAGAGGCAGTTCGTCTTTCACTTTCCGTTTAAAACAGTTAGGATTCATTTATGTGAAGTGATGGCTAGCCCATAGCCACTACACAAGTTCAATGAAAAGCTTCTTGACATGTCAAGTCTGTTTTCGAGTCCTGTGCATTTAGCTTAGTGGATAATAAACAAATGTGAATCCTCGTATTTCCATGAAGTACTTCCACTTTAAGGTTAAAATAGCCTGAAGCTACTCTATCCGCTAGTTTAACTGTCACGATGACAACACGGATCAACTGATGACACCGAGCGTTACCGACTGAAAAAGACGGGAGGACGTCAACATTAATCCGGGCTGTAAAATCCTCATAGAAAACAGCTCCTAAGTATGAGAATAAACCATAAACTAACCACAGCAGACGACCTCACGGTGCTCAGTCACTTCCCAGAGCAGTTTATCTTTCTGACTGACACCGTCCTCTCGCTCCCAGCTGCAGCTGGGCGGAGCGTTAATGTCACCTGGGTCTCAAAGGGTGACATCGCAGGCTAGCCTCAAAGTGCTCATTTGCTAACATTTGGACATTGTTTTCGATGTTCCTGCATGTTAACCGTTACTTTAATAAATTGTTGTTTTTGTTTGTTTGTTTTGGGTGTCTAAATGTGTCAAATGGCTGCGTTCACCGTAAACAACATAGCTTGTAAACTACAGGCTTCCCGCTACCGATGACATGACGTCGGTTTATAATGAGACGTAAACCATAATGTATACAATGACGTAGGCGCGTACACACAACACAACACAACTGCGCACACACAAAGTATCATTAAGAAATGACTTAAGTATTTGTTTTTGTCCTATACTTAATATTATTCTCATTCATTTTTATTTATTGATTTATGTGTATTTATATGTTGCATCGTTATTAATTGGTGAAGGTTTGGGGGGCTGGAAAAGAACATTTTGAGGGGCATTCATTCATTCATTTTCGTTTCCGTACACCTAATGTTCCTTCCAATGACATATTGTACGGTTGCAGTTGCAGTTGCATACTGATATATTTTACTAATAAGAAGAAAATGCAGGACCACAGAGGAGAATTTAAATTCAGTCTAAAATTAGCATCCAAATATACTAGTTGTTTTAATAAATATGAGATTCAAAGAGAGTTAAGCTAACACAAATCTGCAAGAAAATACATAATAATGCATTCTTGAGAGTTTTTTTTATTATAAAAACATTAGTGAGTGTCACAACATTGGTTGTTTAAGATGTATACAAAGCTTCATTTTTAGCATATATTAGAATAGTATAGATATGATTGCCCAAACGCATGGTGATCGACCAAATGCATGGTGGTATTGGTGTAATTTGAGTGTCATATGATCTAACATTCCTGTATAATCTGAATAAATGTGGCAATGGATCATTGAAGGCCCCCTTACTGAGCTTTGAGCCCCTGTTGACCTCCTTAACTAAGATGCACTAAATCACAACAAACAGAACACTAACAAAAATGCTGCTTTACCAACAGCTACTAACTTTTTAATGATGTTTGTTTCATTTTTTTTTTTCCTGTTTTACTAATTCTTGTTTTTTGCTTTGTGTTTTTTTCTCAATTTAATATTCAAGTGAGGAACAGGGAAAACGTTGGAAGAATGGTTCCCTTAATTATTTAAAGAGGTAAATGAATCAAAACAACTGTTGACTAAATGATGGTCTTCCTTCAAGGAGAACATATATACCAAAGACAGATACATAAGATGTTGTGATTTTAGCTACAGTAGACCCACAAAATGTTTCCCATGTCAGTGAAACTGTTATTCATCATTATAACCACCAGAGAGCAGCCTTTTACCTTGTATTGCCCCTGACAGTTCATTTAATCACATTCATTCGTGTCTACCTTTGGGTAAGTGCTGTGTCTGAAATACAAAGTGACTATTAATTTGAGAAAGACAGCGAGATAAGAAGAAATGTGACCATATAATTACTCTGGCTTGTTCATCTTTTCTTCTTCAAGTGCCAACTTAGATGAAAACCACACCACAAAGAAACTCTCCTGTTCTTATTTCCATCTCAGCATCAACAGCACAATCTCTTCAAGTGAGTTCACATACAGTACCTGTGCAGTAGCTGCAACAAGGAGATAATGTGAAGGGAAGAAAGTCAGACAGACAGGGAGATGCAGAGAGGAGGGGTTAGATAAGGCAAGAATGTAAAAATAGATGGATCAAATGAAAATAAAAAGTAAGACTGCTGAGGAAGGCTGCACAGAAGACGGTGAAACGGAGAGACAAAGGTATATCATGCAACAAGGGAAAGAAGGAGAACACCAACGGAATAACAAAAAAAGGAGTGACAGAGGCCCAGGTAAGAGGTTTTTTTTATTCAAGCAGGCAGGGGGATAGAGAATGACTTGATAGACTATAATAACTTCCTCTGCTGAAATCCTGAATGTCATCTCAGTGTAATTCAACCCTCTGTTTCCTCTGAGATGGAAAATTATTGTTTTTCTTGGGACTCAATGAGCTGCATTGTTTCCCGCTCTATTATCCGAATGACTGGAAATAGAATAATAGTCATGTAAATGACACCACAGACATAAACGCATCTATTAATGGTACATTATCTTGGTAAATTGATAGTCCTTAAGCAATATTTATTTATCAGCATTAACTCAAGTGTAACTGATATCCATAAATGTAAAATTAGAGTGGGGTTGTTGCCTGAAAATGAAACAAATATGTTATTCAATCTCATACAATGTTCTACATAAATTGCAACCACAGCCATGTTTGCACGATCTGTTTGAATAAATCCAATATTTTCATTCTGCAGGAAGATTTTGATCTCTTCTTGCAGCCGATTTGATGTTACAGCCATGAACCTGAGCTTGCCCTTTGTTTTGTTTCTTTTCCTGAGTCTACACACTTGTACAACCACGGTGAGTCTACATTTGTCTTGGGTAATGTCTAAATGTTCTTAAATTGTATTAAAAACTACCACCTAGTTGGGCACAAAGAATACCCTCAGATTGTTTCATGAATAGGGCTACAAATATGTTAAAGAATCTCATGGGTGTTTTGTTTTTTTGTGTTTCTTCATTTTTCCTTTTCCAGTCATCATGATTGCTTTATAATAGGTGTTTACACAGTAGCTCATAAACGCATTGACCCAGTCAATTTCTGGTCAGCATTGCACCTGTTTCCCATCTGGGAGAACTTTAGGGGCATATGTGGACCTGGCTCTGACTACAAAGTTTCTGGAAATATAAGTTTGGATGAAGGGAAATGGATGTGATAAAACGCATACCAATTTCATCTTGGTTTCATTTAACAGTTTTATTTAAATATCTTTTACATACCTCTGACAAATGTTCTTATATTTTAGATGAATCCAGCAACTCTGATTTTTAGCACAGATGAAAACACAGACGATTAAATAGTGGGGACACATTACTTTAGGCTCATGATCCACATTTTAAGACAATAGGTCTTCAATGACTGACAAGTTAATACCTGAGTTTAGTGCATGCCTGTGGAATGTGATGAAAAGAAAAGCATATGATCCTTTCATCCATTCAGCTCTGCTCGGAACACGATAGGGAATAATCGTGTGTGTGTGTGTGTGTGTGTGTGTGTGTGTGTGTGTGTGTGTGTGTGTGTGTGTGTGTGTGTGTGTGTGTGTGTGTGTGTGTGTGTGTGTGTGTGTGTGTGTGTGTGTGTGTGTGTGTGTGTGTGTGTCAGGGAGGCAGAGCCCAGCGCAAACAGAGACAAGCCGAGGAGAGCCTGAGACCGTATATTGGCAGAGTGGAGCCAGGTAAGACTTACAGTCGAGGAATGTGGCTTTATGCCAGTAAGATAAATCGTATAGACACAGTAAGGTATTAGTACATAAAATGCAACAATGCCTGGCTCATCACTTTGGGGTTAAGGAGACCATAATGTTGGCTTGAAGTAACAATTCATACTAAATGCATCGATCATTGTTGCGTTGTCATTCAATTTGAAAACATTTTGGGTAACATTTTGCATTTAAGGCTAAGAATGTATTGTATAATGATTGAAAACAAGGTGGTTGTCCCATCATTCATTTTCCTGTCATTTTAATTTGCTTTACATTTCTTCTTTTAACTTACTTTGCTTTTTTATCCCCCACTCTTGTGATATTTCATCATTTTAAATAGATGCTTACCAGACATTTTATATGATGCTTTTATCCAAAAGGCCTTTAATCAGAGCTACATGATGAATAAGTGGTTATCAACACTGGCCTGTAATCAGGCAGAGAAAACAGGGAAAACTAGGAAACAGAAAACAGTGTTATGAAGAAATGTATCTTCCTGTTTCAGAAAAGCTTTGTGAGCTGTTGAAATGCCACAGTCCAGCGGGATCTTGGTGCCAGGTAGTTCAGGAAAATGGAGTTCGTGTCCCCAAGTGTGTCTGTCCTCAGTCCTGTCCACGGTAAAAACACTTCGTGGCATTTAAACCAAGTAAACGTCTACTTATTTTGCAAGTATTTTGACAATTGTCTGTATTTGACCAGCAAATGTAGTGAAAAGAATCATCTATGCAAAATTGCTTATTAACTGTGTAGGATATTGTTAATTATAAACATATCAAATAATACGAATATGTAGATTTAGGGATGAAATTCCAGCAGTTTATTTTATCTGGCTGTGCACCTTACATACAGTTTTGCATTGGGGCACTGGCTCATGTGATCAGGCAGAGGGCACCAGTGTGCAGTGTGCTGGGAAAGACCTATGGGAATGAGTGTGTGCTGCATAAAGAAGCCTGCAGAAAGAGGCGCCGCACAGCACTGGCTCACACAGGACCCTGTCTGGGTAATAAACACACACAGCATTAAATATTACACACAATTTCCACTGTGTACTGCAACATGCCTCTGTTATCTGTCTTGATCAGTCTTCAGGGCTAAATGCACTGAGGAGGAGTTAGGCCAGTTTCCATATCGTCTCCTGGACTGGTTTCTGCTCCTGAGTCGTATGGGGCAGTCCTACGTCCCCGCTGCCCCGCCCCAGAGCTGCCTGAGCCACACCCAGAGGACACTACTAGCACAGGTAGCTGAGAGTTCATGCTTCAAGTGGCAATACACTACAATAATGACCATCTTTTGGGGAATTGTTTTAATAGCTTTCATGTCATCTGACCCAGGGACCCGTACAAGGAATTATTATCATACTGGCCACATGCCACACACTTCCTTTTAATTCATTCTAGTTCTTCTTCTCTTTATATGACATTTTTCTGAAAAATATTAAAGTATTAAAAGGTCTTGATTTAAAATTCAACCATTTATTTTCAATACCTTTGCTGTCATGTGACCAGGTGACTCCATATGTAATAAAAATAGGTGTGTCTCATCTTTCCAGTGTAGTAATTCAATGCTGATTAATTGATTTTGGGTCATTGTGTCAC